AAAATCTTTCATTCTCTTTTTTAGGTAATCCGTGTAACTTTTCAAGATCCATTCAAAATATTTTCGTGCAGTTGAAACATTTTCTATCTCAACTATGAAAGTCTAATTATCCACCTCATTTAATAAAAAGACTTGACAACTTTGTAGCAATTACTTCATAGTAGTTAATGTTAAAACTTACACTAGTAAATAAATTTACTCTTTTTCCTATCATTACAAACTTAACAATTTTCCAAGTTTTCGATAATTAATCTCGATTTTAAATAATAATTTATTGAATTATAAAATGGGTAGAAAATCATTTTCACAAATTACCTTCTACAAATAACTCTATTAGGTCCATAAAACTTAACATTTATTCTTAACAAACTTATAATCAGTTGATCCGTTAATAACTCATTTTTCTATAAACTTTTAGCAGTCAATATATTTACAGCTTAATCATTTCCTCAATTATTTAAGCTTACATGAAGAAACCTCGGAATCATCTCTAGATTTGAAAATCTCCACTAGATCTTCATCTGATTCAACTTCTCTTGAGTCGATTTTTATCTCAACCTTCTTTTCAATATCATATAGTTTCTTACATTTGTCCTTAGTTTACGATATCTATTAGGACATACCTAATAATAACACTTAAGTTAATAAGGAGTGACAACAATCACACTCTAATTGACACTATATCAGTAACATTGACAATCTTAATAGCATGTAATTATTTTTCTCAATTCAATTAAACTTGATTTCAGCCGAGAATCGGCTAAACCTGTAGCTCTGATACCAATAAATGTAACACTCATCTCTCATATACCTTTCCGTACACGAGATACAGATGACGCATCACTTTTAAAGCATTTCCCCATTTAAAAACCCATAAAAATTTGTCTTGAAATTTAAAACTAAAAACAATTTTTATACTACAAGAAAAAGTTGTTGAAACCTATTACTAAAGTTATCACTTTAAATACATTCTAGAGCAACTTTTCTTAATTTCGATTACATGCGAGTAATTTTTCAAATTAACATGATTGTCCTACTATTACTGATGAGAGTCAACCTTAGATTGCTGATAGTTGCTCCTGCTCTAGTATCCTACTAGTCTTTGCTATTACCTATGCGTGAAATCAACACACGTTAAGTATATTCTTAGTGAGGCATAATATTGTAAAGAATCTTCAATTTATACATAAGTGTCTCATGACTATTTAATGACGAACTAAATCGCATACTCCATAAATAACAGGTTAATCATACTCAGTTAAACCAGATTTTTCTTTCATACAATCATCAAAATTTTTCTTAGTAATCCCAACCTATCTATCATTCTGTATATTTTTCCCAATCATTTTTTATTTTCCCTATGTACGTTAAATGATAAAGTATTGTACATGTATTGTAACAAGTGCTAAATGGTCCTTTATCTTTTATAATTATCATTAATGACACGTTATATACCATTAATATACCACACTGTATTTTCATTTGTGGCATCCTTTCATGCCAATTATGCAATGTTATATGTTTTAATTTATGGTATCATTTCATGCCAATTATGCATTGTTCTTCATCTAACTTGTATTAGTGGCACTTTTCTACCAAAATGCGCCGTTAGGCATTCTTCTTTCATCCTAGAGGAATTTAACCTTTCTTCTAACTTTCATTTTTGGCACCATTCTGCCAAATTTACAGTTAAACATATAATCTTTTAATTTAGAATAGTTTCTGCTCTAATAATTATTCATAATATCAATTAAATCTTTTAATTTATTATAAACCCTATAATTTTACACTCGTAATGCTAACACTGTAATTTACCAACTTTCTAGTCATGATCATTTTAATAAGATGCACACGTAGTGCCTATAAGGTCGTTCATCAACACATGATGAATTCTTTGGGTTGCATACATAGTGCCTGTACGGTTGTTCATTATCTCATGATGATTTCCGTAGGTTGCACACATAGTGTTTGTACGGTTGTTCATCAACATATGATGAATTCGTGAGTTGTAGACAGAGTGCCTAAACAGTTTTTCATCAACATATGATGAATTCCGTGAGTTGCACACATAGTGCCGAAACGGTTGTTCATTAATATGATGAATTCCGTGAGTTGCATACATAGTGCCGAAACGGTTGTTCATCAACATATGATGAATTTCGTGAGTTGCATACATAGTGTCGAAACGATTGTTAATCAATATATGATGAATTCTATGGGTTTCACACATAGTACCAAAACGGTTGTTCATCAACATATGATGAATTCCGTGAATTAAACATATAGTGCCGAAATGGTTGTTCATCAACATATGATGAATTCCATGAATTGCACACATAGTGCCAAAACGGTTGTTCATCAACATATGATGAATTCTGTGAGTTGCACACATAGTGCCGAAACGGTTGTTCATCAACATATGATGAATTCCGTAAGTTGCACACATAGTGCCGAAACGGTTGTTCATCAACATATGATGAATTCTGTGAGTTGCACACATAGTGCCGAAACGGTTGTTCATCAACATATGATGAATTCTGTGAGTTGCACACATAGTGTTGAAACGGTTGTTCATCAACATATGATGAATTCTGTGAGTTGCACACATAGTGCTGAAATGGATGTTCATCAACATATGATGAATTCCGTTAGTTGCGCATATAGTGCCGAAATGGTTGTTCATCAACATATGAGGAATTCCGTGAATAGCACACTTAGTGCCTATTTGGTAATCACCTTACAATTATTAAGCAATCATACATCTATGACTATTATATCATATAGGTACATAATAAATGCACTCACCTGGCTTGCCTTGCTATTATATCCAAAACGCAAGCCTGACTACTCAGCTACTTTTTTTTTCCTTTCATTTTTCTTGACCCGGGAGCTTGATTACGATCTACACAAGCATCCATTAATGACTTATATCATACTAAATGTTAGTATATTTCCTAACATTTATACTTTAATAATAATAAAAGGTACTATTATTTAGATTTCCATAACACTTTCAGCCTAACCTACAATTCTAGGTTCACTAGTATCAGTACCCCTACCATGGTATCGATACTACTATATTATGGTATTGATACTCCATTGTGGTATCGATACCATTTCTGCATTCTGACTTAATGGTATCTATACCTTCTCCATAGTATCAATACCCCCTCAGTATCGATACTGATTACATCAGTATCGATACTATTTAGGTGATTTCATCTAAATTAAGCCTATAGTATCGGTAATGTTTTATCCGTACCGATAACTTTACCCAACTTTTTCATTTTTCAACCCGATTCTTACCCAAATTTGGTCAAATTTCCTTATATTTACACCCAACAATACCATTAAACTCTTCTTTACTTATCCCAACTAACTTCCTTTCATTTAACTTCTTAAAACATCTCAAATTTCCAAAGAACAATTCTACCCAAGAATCATACCACTTTTTCTAACATGTTCTTAATCTCATCCAATGTTTCTAATCTCTTATTTACTTCTTTGTCAAGTCAAATATACTAATAAACATCAGTAAAAACATATTTTCTTCAATCTCAAATATTTCAAAAAGCTCCTAGTTTTAATCTTACTTAATCCTTCCTTAAGCTTCCATAATACTCAATGTTCCAACCACAACCCAAAAACAAGAAGAAAAGATGGTTAAATTAAATCTTACCTTTGGCTATAGAGGATAGTCCTTGCACGGAGAAGAAGAAAAGAGATAACTCTAATGGTTTAACTTTCCCATTTTTCTTCCTAAATTCCTAATAAGGAATGAATTTTAAATTCATTTCTCCTTAAAGGACCTAATTACCCTCTATATTCATTCATTAATACAAATTGGTCATAAACATTATTCCAATCATTTCCTATCTTTTTATCATTTATACAATTGAGTCTTCAAATTTTTAATCTTTTCAATAAAGTCACTGACCTGATATTTGGGGTATTACATGAAAACTCTAATTTCAACCCCTAAACTCACGTTAGCCACCGTCAAACCTCCACTCGATGACCAATAACCCCATGAAAATCCACTGAAACATGAGCTAATTGACGACCAATCGACGCAAACTTCTTGACAAACCCGACGTTAGAAATCATGACCCCACACGACCTTGATCGTTAATTGATGACAAGGATGATGACGCCTGAGTAGGAAGATGGTAAGGATGACATTGGGGGCGATGGTCGTGGCTGGCAAGGACGACATCGACAGGTTAAGGCTAGGGATTTAAGATTTTTAGGGATTTGGGTTTTTGTTTTGTAATTTAAGAGAAATTAGGATTTTTTTTACAAATAAAAATAACCAGAACATGTACTTTAACCGGTGTTTTAACGGCCATCACGATTAGGGCATCTAAAGTGGTAACGTTTGTAATGTTAGGCACCTAGATAGAACGAAAAAAATGTTTGGGCACCACTTTGAAAAAAAATGGTACAGTTTGGACACTTTTTTTTATAGTAAGCCTAATTCAAACGAGGTGCAATCAAATTTGAAAAGTTGCAATTCAAGGCTCGGGTAGCTCTAAATATAAGCAATATGCCATTAAAATGACTTTAATGATCAATAAGTAAGATGAACATTCTAATGTCTTTCAAAATCTTGTACCTCAAGTAATAAGAAATAAGATAAAGTATTTTTGTTAAAAAATACCAAATCACTTTCCCTCCGTTTGGAGTCTGGCTTGTTTTTTTTTTTTTTTTTGAAACCTTGTGGAAACCTATGTTCTTGAAATCATGTAACTTCTCACGAAAACCATGTTTAGAGCCACAAGGGATCAAAAATATTGACCATGCTCATTTATTGAAAACAATAAGATAGACTAGCATACGTTCATTGTCATATACTAGCTTATGTTCATATTCACAGAGTTAATGATACATCACACTCTTTATCCGATGTTCAAGATATCAACTTGGGAACAGTATGGCAGAAACACATAACTTACCAGGGTGGAATGGCATCCTACAGATTTTAGCTTTAGGTAGAAAAGGGTCACTCAAACAGATAATTCGGTCTTGGAGATGAGGATATCATCAGTGTCTGCATAAAGCCACTCCCCATCACAGATCCTAGTCCCAGGAATGGTTATCGGGACATGTTTCTCCCCGATTCCCTTCTTATTGCCCTTCATTGGATGAGAATGAAACGCTCTCACCCCAATGTCACAACCGTTTATCTCGTCAACATCCCTTACACAGTCGTTCACCACTATTCCAGCCCATCCGTTATTTTGAGCTTGAACCATAGGGTTGCCTCCAAGTATGGAACACCTTAACCTACAACCCCTATCAACAACTAGAACTCTTTCATTACCCTTGATATGATCTCGGTTATGTGTTCCGAGTTATATACGATGTTGCCTGATCGTGATTCTAGTAAGAACTTCACAGTGCTTTGATTGAAGACTAAAAATGCACAAACAACGTTAAAAGAAATAAATTGAAAATAAAATGTTGTAGGTTATGATAAAGTGGTTTGAAGGTAATGGAAGAGAGGTGGTTGTTGTAGTTTAATGAAATAAAGGAAAGTGGGGAAAGTGTAGTGGTGACAATAATTTATAATATGGAAATAATAGAAGTCAGGTGAAGGTAAAAGATGTTATGGCGTGAGAGATGAATGATAAAATAAAAAAGTATGGATTGTGACCCGCTAGTTATATGGAGCTAGGAACCAACAATATACAAAGATGAAATCGAAGTGATAAAGGGTGGAATGTAACCCACTAGCTATAGGAGAGCTAGAAACCAACATTATAAAAAAATGAAATGGAGGAAGGCTTCAAGACTGACAAGAAGCCGATAGAGTTCTAATCCAAGAACTAAAATGAAAAACCTTTCAAAAAGTTTATTATACAAAGAGTTCTAAGTACAAATCCATGGGGGTGCCTATTTATAGTGTTGATAGGCACCATATGAAGTTTTTTTACAATTAAAATAAAACAATCACCTAAATGCAATTGAATTCAATTAAATGACTTGTCATTCTTCATATCCTTTGATGGCTGGCCATGTAGATTGAAAATGAATGAATTAAGCTTTAATTTGAGATAATTTCATCCTTAAATTCGTCCAAAAAGAAAGGGTAACTCTTGGGTTGCCTTGCTTTGCTTGCAAATAGAAGAAAAGAGGATAAATGAAGTCATAGGATGAATGTGGACATCCTACATGTCCAAATAAATTTGTTTATTCAAATTCCTTGTTGATTTTATTACTTAATTTGATGATCAAATGAAATAAAATCAGTCTTCATTGCTTGTTCCTTTGTAGATTGTGAATAGCCTTCAAAGAATGATAGGTAAGATTGAATAGGTGAATTATGAAGGATTGAATGCATTGTCTCTCCAAGAATATGAACAACCTTGAAAAGATGAAAAGAATTCATCCTTGAATTGCTTTGAATAGAAGCATTAAGATAGCCTTCAATTGCTTGTCTCTTGGTAGAAGATGAAAGGACTCTTCATTGGCTCAAACTCATTCAAATAATCCATGCATGAAATTCCCGTAATGAAAATTCCAACCTGCACTTTCTTTGGTAATTCGATCATATCTCAAGCTCCTGATATCAGATTGAAGTGATTCAAAAGACGTTGGAAAGCTAATAGATAGAGGAATAATGTCCAATTGGTTTCTGGACCCAAAAATGTTTGTATCGCATCCAGAATAAGAATACATTCTGACTGATATTCTTGCATCTGTTGAGACTGTTCAGCTTCCCTCTTGCACCTTAACACAAAGATAAACTTTATTCAATCATAACATGTAAATATGCATGGGATAATTAAGAGTTAATTTGATTAATGAACTAAGTTTATTCAATGAACTAAATGCATGAATGAAGTAGTTTATTAAATAACTAGATGCATGAATGAACTACTTCCCTAAATGAAATACATGCTTAAATGCAATGCATACTTTAATGAACAACATACTTATTAAATGCAATGAATGTCATGAAACTAATAAAACTAATGCAAATTCATGCAATGAATGATATCATATGATAAGCATATCCTAAGAGGTAAATACAAATATATGATGAAATATAGCGCATAAATGAGCAGGTATAGGATGAAGTAAGGTATAACTCCCTTTGAATCAGACTTGGTGAACTTCAACAATTTAATCAGATCAAGATGAAAGTTAGGACCGATTGGGATCACATCAACCCTTCTCCTTCAGGAACCCACGGATCAAAACATTGTCTTCAAACACTTTAAGTGTAACTATAGGTCCAGATAAACCGGGCGACGACCGTATATTTGGAATATTGGCTGTAGGGCCCGAAGTTCACCACCCACAATTAGCTGTGGATTCGCATCACACGCTTCAGCAGTTGTAACCAAAGCCATTAATCACAGGCACTCCTTCAGGCAAAACAACAATTGAAAAATAGTATTAAGGCCGAGAGAGATGAAGATACAATCACATTTTCTCAAAATTACCTTGGTATAGAAGCAAACAGACAGCTAGAAATTACAAGAATTTAAAACCAGTAGTATCACTAAAAAAAAATCTATCCTAATTACAAAAATAGAGAATCTTGGAAACAAATAAAACAAAAAGATAAACTTAGAAACTATGTTAGAATGCATCTGAAAAGAAAAAGGAAAATAATTTTTTCCAAGCAATCCAAGGACCAAAAGAGCTCTCCTATACATACTACCTTCACCAAAAAAATCAATTCAGATTGGAAACCTCTAAAATAATAAAATTATGAAGGAAAGCCATAAACATTTAAGGTTGATGAACCTGGGATCAATCTACTTGATTCATTCAGCTAATCTTAAAAAGGTAACAGTTTCTTTTACAAGAGAAATTCCTGTACAACCGAGCATAAGTCATATACAAGACGATGAACACAATAACCAGTTTCTACTGTCATTGCAATCAGAAAAGTTCTCTAAGATCTATGCCAAAACCAAGAAGCATGAAGAACAGAGCACAAGTCCCAACATTGAAATCCAATGAATCAAAAACATACCATCCACATTTTCGCATAACTAAATCGGAAAATAAAACAAGCAAATTCAGCAAAAGTGGAGGAGAAAATGAAGCAGCTAAAAGTAGGACCTTAAAATCCATTATTTGGAATAAAATATAAGAATGCAATTCAAATTCTTCAAATAGAAGAAACCCATCATAATCTTAATCACACCTTTATGATCTATACCTTTCATTTTAAGTTCTTGTATTTATTATCATAATCTTTTGCTCACCATTCAGCATATTTACGCATAATAAAAAAGTGAATAAGCAGATGAATAACCCGATTCAAAGGACTGATTAGTCATAACATCAAATCAATACAATAAAAAAAAACAAAGAAATTTGAATAAACATTGGATAACTGAAAATTGGGAAAAATCAAAGTTGTGGGTTTCCTTTTTTTACCTAGAAACGGAGATCGTCAATTAAGGATTCAAAAGAAGATGCAAAGGGAGAGTCGAAAGAGTTTGTGGTTCCAAGGAAAGAGTATGGCTGCTAAATCGCGTGATTGTTTTGCTTTTTTTACAATTTTTTATTATAAAGGTTTACTCTTTCTCCGTTTATCAAATAATAAACAACATAAATAATCATTAATTTTTAAATAATTTTTTATTAAAATTTTATAAATAATATATTAATTATTAATATTATCAACTTATAACAAATGATCACTTAACATTAACACCTGTTAAAATAGGTGACGGACTGACCTGGCAACTACGCTGCGACACACGACCTCTTTTGACTCTCCAATATAATGAATCGGAAGATCCCATTTTCCAAAAACCCGACCATTCCACTTCCAGCTATTGAATTAAAAGTACATTTATTGAAAAAAATAAATTCTAAAAATTATTTTATGGTGTTTGAAAGATGCATGTAAATCATTTTTATTGGTTGATAAATTTTTTAAAAAATTATATATTATAAATATCAAATATAATAAATAATATTATTTATTAATAAATAATTAATATTATTATTTTTGAAGTATTAGAATAATTTATTAATATTATTTATTCTAATATTATCATTAAAATATTATTTCTGCAATTTTATAAATAAAAAATTAAGGCCATTATATTTTATTAAAATAAAATTTTTATAATTATATTAATTATTTTTGAAAATAAGAATATTTATATTATTGATTATATTAACTACTTATTAAGTAAGAATGTAATTATACTATTAAAAATAAGAATATTAAAATTAGAATATTATATTATATTCTATAAATTATTAATAAATATATTTTAAATATTTAATAATTTAATAATATTATTTTATGAAATTAATAAATAAAAATAATTTTATTAATAATTTATTATATATTATTAAAATATAATATAATATAATATATATTATAGTACACTTTAATATATTATTATAACACTAAAAATATAATATAATATTATTAAAATTATCAATAATATATTTTAATAACTAATATTTTTATTAAAATGATACTAGAATAATATATTAATATGAAATATATAAACTAATATTATTTTGATTATTTATGCTTTGAAATCGAAGTTTTTCGTAAAATAAATTATTGAAAAATAAACTATAAGTTATTTTTCACAAAATAAAAAAAAAATATGTTGACTAAAAAAATGAATTACATTGATATATTTTTTTACCAATCAAACACTAAAAAATAAGACCAACAAATCAATTACAGCGAAACAAATAGAGTTTTTGTAATAAATGCAGGTTATTATTAGCCATGGGTTTCACCAGCTTCTTCACTAAAAAATGCCGCTCATCAGGTCGGAGTTTGGTGACATTAACAAGTCTTTTTCTTCTGATATTCCTCGTAGTGTCTGCTTTCCCGTCTGCTTTTCATCAAAAAGAGCTGTTGTGATCCGTTCAGACGTCGGTGGTCTCTCAACCGCAGCTCATTGGGACTCCTATTCATCAGCTTCTTCATCATCATAACCATAAGAAGTCAGAGAACGTAAACTGGACACTTCACTTACGTTGCTCGTTTCGATATCTAATAGCACGATTCTCACAGATTGCATCTCATCTAAACCAGCTGATCGGGCCTTCATACTGTATGTTTGTTCTGCTATTGAAATGACAGTATGGGACAAGGTTTGTCGAGTGCTTTAATGTTTAGTCATTATGGGGTGGCCTTTAGTATGAGTTAAAGTTCCTTTACGCCTCCCCCCACCTTTGAAATTAAAATAGCTTATACATGCTAGATTACAGGCGGTCATGTAAAGAAGTTGGAGAAAATGCAACCTTCAATCCCAATGTTGTTC